GATCGCCCCCCTGCTGGCAGGAATGGTGAGTCTGGGGTGTTTTTCTCAGTTTTTTTTCTCTTAAAGGGCCAGAGGCAAGACAGGCAGGGCAGCCATGGGGGGGAGCTGGGACAGCGGGGGGGTGGGGTGAGGAGGGGTTGGGGAGCTCATGCAGAGCCCCCCACACAGCATGGGGCAGTGGGGGGCAGCGGGGATCTCCCCCCCACCTGGCAGCACCCGCTGAGTCGGGGCTTTTTTCCCCCCCAAGAGCTGGGAGCTGGGGCGGGTGGGGCAGCCATTGCCAGGGCAGGGGATGGGCCTGGCCTGGATAATTTGGAGATTTGGCAGCAGCTGTATCTCCAAATCAGATTTGGCAGAATTGATTTGGGACAGTGATTCAAATCCCTGAATTGAATCATTGTCCCCCAAATCGGCTGAATCTGAATCCAAAGCGAATACCAGCTGCTTAGCACAGGCCTAGTTATGAGGCACACGGTTTATGAGGAGAGGCTGAGGGAACTGGGCTTATTTAGTCTAAAGAAGAGAAGATGGAGAGGGGATTTAATCCTTCCTCTATGTCTTGAACTACCTGAAGGGGGGCTTCAAAGAGGATGCAGCTAGACTGTTCTCAGTGGTGGCAGACGACAGAACAAGGAGAAGTGGTCTCAAGTTGCAGCAAGGGAAGTTTAGGTTAGATATTAGCAAAAACTTTCTTACTAGGCGGGTAGTAAAGCACTGGAATAGGTTACGCAGAGAGGTGGTGGAATTTTCATTCTTGGAGGTTTACAAAACCTAGGTAGATAAAGCTTTGGCTGGGATGATCCTACTTTGAGCAGGGGGTTGGACTATATGACCTCCTGAGGTCCCTTCCAACCCTAACTTTCTATGATTCTCTGATTCAACTAGGTACTTCTCTTCCTGCCAATAGGCAGAACTTATTAAAGCAATCAGAGCCAAGACCATTTTTTCTTCTATAATGTTGCTGCATCCTTCTATATTCAGGACTTAGCCGCACAGCCTGGGACAAACAGGCGTACTGCAAGCTGCCTGAGCATGATTCTGAGGCTGGGACAGAGAACAGGACAAATTAATCTGTGCTATGCACTTTAGGACTGGGGACAGAAGTTACATATAAACCAGTTTAAGTGATCAGAAACTGGTTTAAACCTGTAACAGAACAGACATTCAGTGCACATAAACCAGTTTCAAAATGGCTGAAAGCGGTTTGAGATAAACCTGGTTGAATGTAGTATCAGACTTAACTGCTTGAGCTCAAACTGGTTTATGCAATGCCTGTCCCAGACCCCTTCCCAGTTTAAGTTCAGCTAGAGTCCTACAGCATCCTAGCATGCTGTCTGGGTGGGACTCTACTCTCTGCTCCAAAGCAGGGCTGGCCCTGCCCTCTGCTCTCCAGCCTGAGCAGGGACAGGCTGTGGTGAGACACTGGGCAGCATGGCCCCATTAAGGCAAAGTGGGCAGGGAGGGGGTTAATTCTCCCCTCCTCCCCTACCGCAGCTGGGGTTTGCCTTTTTGCTGGGAAGCAGAGGGGAGGGGTCTGCGGTGGTGGCCCCTGGGGCTGGTAGAACCCGGCTGCAGGACAGAAGGAATGGAGGGAGGAATTAACCCTTCTCTCTGCCTTTACCTTAATGGGGCCATGCCAGGACTCTCTTCCATGCTGAGGGGGATGCTTCCCTCTCCTCCTTCACCCCCAGGGTGGGAGGAGGGGAGGGCTCTGTGTGGTGCTGGATGGGGACTCCTGCACCTCTTCCTCCTTCCCCTGCACCACTGTGGGGTGGGGAGGGGGGTGCTCTGTGAGGCTTCCCAGACCCCAGGGGGAGAATCTTCCCCCTTCTCCTCCCCCACTGCTGTGGGGTGGGGCAGGAGGCTCTTTGCCATGCTGCCTGGCCCCAGAGGGGGACTCTTCCCCCTCCTCCTCCTCCTCCTCCTGCCCCGTCCCCTGCTGCCTCAGAGTGGGAAAGTGGGGCTCTGTGTGGTGCTGCCTGGCCCATCCCGGCCGGTGTGCTGGGAGCAGCTGTAACTGAGCCACAGCTCCTGGGGGTGGCCCTGCCCCCATGGCCCCGACCAGCCTCACTCAGCCCCAGCTGAGGCAGCTGCATGTTGGGGCTGGGCCAGGCCATGGGGGCGGGGCCACCCCAGCAGCTGTGGCTCAGTGATGGGGACATTTACAGCTGTCGCCTGTACCCCAGCCAGTGCCACACAGAGATTGGCGTCGGGGCGGGGGTAGGAGGATGAGGGGGAAGAATCCCTCTCCAGGGCTGGACAGCCTTGCAGAGCTCCCCTCCCTATCCCACAGCGGTGGGGGAGAGGAGACAGGGGAAGAGCCCCCCCAGCACTGAACAGAGCCTGCCTCCCTGAATTTCCAGAATGAAAAGGGAACATCTATCCATTTGCAAACCATTTCAATCTCTGCAGGTTAGATTAATCAGTTCAGACTTGGGCTTTTTGAATGTCTGTCCCTAGCCTAGGTGTTGGAAAATGCTGGCCTATGCAATGGAAACGAAAATTGCTACTCGTATCCCTACCATTCTCCTCCCTGGACCGAATCCAATATCCAGTCAGGTAAACAGAAAAGATCTCAGTGGGAGTTGCATTACGGTATGAGAGTACTTGACTAAGAACACATTGAAACTTATCATTTTCATTGAAATATCTCTAATGGCACTGTAGTGAACACACAGGCCATGTCTACACAAGATGCTGACTGTGCAGTTGTTACTGCAATCATTTAGCACTTGCATACACAATAGGGCTGTGCGAAATTTTGCCGGGTGTTTCATTTTGACTCATTTTGAGGTTGAAACAGTGAAATCAAAACAAAATGAAAGCTTCAAAGCAGCCTTGAAATGGAACGAGGGCACTCAAAACATTTTGAAAGTTTCAAAACGTTTTGAGTTTCGAAGCTAGGTTTGCTTGCAGGGATATAGAAAGTAAGGAGAGGGAGGGGGAAGAGGGAGGAAGGACTGCTCTCCTATTGACTGTGTAGCTAACCAGTGACTGTGATCCTTTCCTGAGGTCCCTTCCAATCCCAGAGCTCTGGGGGAGGGACAGAAAAACAGCTGCACACACGCACGCACACACACACACACACACACACGGCATGACTTTTGCTCTGAACAGTCTGAGGTGCAGTTTCCCAGAAACCCCTGCACCTATCTCCTTGAAACATGACAGGCTTTGTGGGCTCAGCAGGGGCTACCCTCCCTGCTGCTTTCAATTGAATCAGGCAAGAAATGACGAAGTTTAGGCAGTTTCGTGATTCCCCATTGTAGTCTATGGGCGAAATGTGGAAATAGCGTCGAAACAACGAAACAGTTTTGATGAAATGAAACAGAACAGTGCTTTCAAAACTAAACGAAACTCGAAATGAAACACTGTCCCATTGAAACGGCAAAACAGAAGTCAAAATAAAATGGTGATGTTTCGCACAGCCCTAACACCCTAATGCACAGGTACTAAATGACTGTGCACTAACCAGTGTTACTGCACGGTAGCATCCCCAAATGGCTTTTTGGTGATGCTGACTGCGCAGTAGCTCGTTATTACTGCACAGCTGCATCACGTCATGCTTCATGCCATGTAACACTACCACACAGTAGTAATGAGCTACTGCACAGTCACCATTTCGTATAGACACAGCCACTGTGTAGGTATCCGAGTAAAGATTTTCATTTCTACAAGAAGCAAGGGTTATTTCCTGGACCATCACAGCTACAACAACATTCTAACTCTACTACTTATCCACCAGATCTCAAACACACCCACTGTAGTTCAACTGACCTTTAAAAGCCTTAGTCTCCAAGATGGCAGTCATGAAGTGACCAAAATCTCCCTCTATTGCTGTTTCATTCCAGTTGGGTTATCTGATTGATTATCCAATGTATTGAGCACATCAAAGTTGATCTGCAACATAAAAGAGTACTTATAGCTATTTCTGAGTTACTCCCTTTACTTCCAGAAATAGAAACAGCAAGATGCAGAATATTGACAGTGCACACATCGCTAATGCATAGTAAAAAGTACTATTAGGCATATTCACTCTTAAATATTACAGTGACTTTCTTGACATTAAAGTTGGAAAATGGAACAATTATTTTTGCATTAGCAAGTATTACTGACAAATTCCCTCTGCATCCTCTTACCATCGTGTCAAAATGAATCATTAGCATTTTATTGAAGTGCTCTGGCTATCCCATAACAGTTATAAACTGTAAATGTATCCCAATTATTCATTTACTGACTTCATGAATATTCAATAAATATTAAGATACGCTAACTGAGTTTACTGTGATAAGTTAGAAAAGGCAAAAAGCAAGTGTCCCTTCTTATCCCTGGTAAGTTGCAAGGTTTATGGGGGTTACTTTGGCACCCATCAAATGAGAATTCCTCGGGAGATAACCTTTTCTTTGAATAGGCACAAACAGCATTTTTAATATGCAACTCTGAGATGGAGCTGGCTCAGAAATGCTGATGTATATGGAAGGAAGGTCAAATTCTCTTCCAAACAGATAGATGTTAGGTCAAAATGACTAGAATTAGAAGTGGTATCTTGTTTATAGTGCCTTTTATGATTCCAAATTTGCTTCCTCTGTGGGCCAAATCTTTTCCTCACTTCCACCCCTGTAAAAGGTCTTGTCACATTAACTGTGCTTTCTACTGAAAGCTGAATAGACTTGTGAGGTTACATGTCTTTTAACTATGGCTGGATTTATTTTACTCCCTCTTCACTTTCAATGGTGACATGGTACTCATGTGAGCAGTCCAAATTAATTTAGTGGGATAATATGACATTGAGTTCAGGGCAAGGACAGGAAGTAACCTTAATTTAAGCAAACTGTCCTTGAATAATGTGTCTTTTGGCTCAATTTGAAAAAGTATATTTTAGGGTAAATGACTCTGGGCAAATAATTTAAAAAAAATAAAATTAATGCCTTGCTCTCAAAGGCTTCACAAAACCTGCTGGTTATTATTGTGCAAGTTAACTGCAACAATCTAGTAAAATTCAGATAAGTGATTGTTTCTTTCATAGCATCTTTGTCCCTCTCAAATTATTATGAAGACTGAAAACCTCTGTTCTCTGAGGACATGCTCCAGTTTCTATGTGGCTGGGTTGTTTGTTATGAGCAAGCTTACGAGGCAAAGGTTTTAGGTTTTACTGAGGATATTTTATGCTCCCGTAAGCTTTCTCTGTAATTTATTGTAGAAGCGGCTACAAATACACAACTGAGGAAGTCATATGGGAATAAGCTGAAATGTTTTCTGGGATCCTGCATCAATGACTTGAGAGTGAACCTGCTGGGAAAAAGGCTTAAGAAACAGCATGATAGTGTATCATCATAATCAATGTAAAGACCTTAAATTTAAATTCCTGTTGAAAAGTGACTTTTTTTTTACACAGGTTATTTTTTCTCTTCAGCAAATTTGTGCACAACTTCAGGCATCAGAATAAAAGTAAAATTCAAAAGTTCACACCAATAATAAATAGGTTTGCCTGGCTTGTATGCAATAAGGTAGGCACATGTCCTGGGAAAGGGATATGATACAAAAATCATGTATACATTATTTAAGTAGCTGCTAAATTAAGGTGTGTCCTGATATGTACGTATCCTTAACTAGTGGAGATTTACTGCACAGTGGGCATGTCTAATCCAAGATGTTTACTGTGGAGTTGCCTAATTAACTCCAGAGTAAATGTCTCTGTATATACATGTGCAGCCCTATTAGGCTACAGAAAACTAACAAACTCTGCAGCAGGATAGTACTTGTAAATACAAGAACTATCCTGATGCAGAAATTTTTACTCTATAGCAGCACACATAGAGACACTGATGCACCTGGCTGGGGCATGAGGATGCTTCAGTGCAGAGCTGCCTTCTAGCTAGCCCCACACTGGAACATCCTCATGCCCCAGGCAGGCCTTCTGCAGCACACTGAGCGAGGTCAGAGCAGCCCCGGGCTGGCAGGCTGGCTCTCTGCCATCTGGGGCTGCTCTGACCCAGCTCAACATGCTGTGTTCCCAGGCGCATGTGTAAACGCAGCACCCAGGAGCAATAAACTCTGTTGCATTAACATGCACATGTAGATGCATCCACTTACAACAGTGGGGGCCAACATTTTTAAAAGGTGTGCCACAAATTAACTAGACAGACAAGGTTCTTTGTGTATATGTGATATTTTTTTTTTATTAGACTGACTAAATAGTTGGAAAAAATGTTTTTTGCAAACTTTTGGGCACAAACACCCTTCTTCAAGCATAGGGATAGTTTGCTGGTGTTATGTGTTCTCCATGGTGGAATAGAAGCCAATATGCAAAATGCGGGTCTGTGAAAATGCAAACGCGTGGCAGTAAGGATCACAGGCCATGGGAGACAAGAGGTGTGAGACAGGTAGGTGGGGAGGGAGGGAAAAAATTAACTATGCACCCTGACTGAGAGCCACTTTGATCCCCTTCCCCTGCCAGATCTGCTGCTCTGCTTTCTGCTCCCTGCAGTATCAGCTGCTGTTCTGTCTGACCCTTATCCAGTCTATCACATGCCACACACACAGAGCCTGCCCATGCTATTTGTGGCATGTGTGCTGCAGACTAGGTAAGGGGAACCTCAGTGACCTTGAACACTGTATGGGTAAAGGAAGGAAGTCCTACAATAAGTGCAAGTTGCTTTCTGTTACAGGGAACTGTAGAATTAGTTCTAGAGCCAGCAAAAAAAGACTTTCAAAATTTCCTCGAGCCTCATCAATTATTATGCCAGCTATGCAGGAGCCTCAGGGATAGAATTCTTTCCTTGTTCCACTCCTTGCAGCAGATTTGCAGCACTTTGTGATCAACCCTTCCTAGCTCCAAGTTGTCTGTGCTGCTTCAGATACACTGACTGGCTCAGAGAGGTGTGTGGAAAGCCAAGACAATGCCTACTTTTTATTTGTCTCAGCCACTCTGTTCATGTCCTCAAGGGATAGGAAATTAGAAGGTACAGGCATACCTCGTTTTATTGTGCTTCGCTTTACTGCGCTTCGCAGATATTGCGTTTTTTACAAATTGAGGCAAGACCCTCCACCAGCAAAAAGATTACGACTCGCTGAAGGCTCAGATGACGGTTAGCATTTTTTAGCAATAAAGTATTTTTAAATTAAGGTGTGTACATTGTTTAGACATAATGCTATTGCACACTTAATAGACTACAGTATAGTGTAAACATAACTTTTATATGCACTGGGAAACCAAAAAATTCGTGTGACTCGCTTTATTGCGGTGGTCTGGAACCGAACCTGCAATATCTCTGAGGTACGCCTGTATATAGAAGATATTATCTCCCCCGGTATGAAGAAGTGTGTTGCAGGAGTGCAGTAGTATGAATTGCCCCTCTCCCACTTTCTCCCCTGCATGGCCATATAGGGCTGGTCTCAATCTGGCCACAGACAATGGGTTACTGCAGTTGTTCTCAACCTTTCTAGACCCCAGGCACTCCTCTGCAGACTCAAAGTACTCCTCAGAAAATGCCAGCTCTTAGTTTTCACTGGTTTTGTGACTGCAGAAGAATAATAGAGCAATTTTTCTGTTGCAAAGAACTCAGAACGATCACAATAAGAATGTTTATAGCACTATGGCTTCCTACTTGAAATCTTTGGATTTATCTTGTGAATCATGTTTGAACATGTAACAGTGTTAACATTGTGTGGCACCCCATGGCACCTTTGAAAAGATCCAGGGGGCAGATCCGGGGGTTGGGGGTGGGGGTACATGTAGTGGTGCAGTTACACTCCCCTTTGATATACTCCACCCAAACTAAAGCCAACCGCCTAGGAGGGGCAGCAGAATTTCTTTTTAGACTACTAAATCATTTGACTTCATGACTACTTACAATGTCCATGAATCCTGCTAATCTCTCTTCACTCCACAGGTGTTAACAACCCTGTCTACTTTTTAATGGTCTTGATGTTCCACTATTCAAACTATTCTTTCTTCTTTAACTTTTCTGTCTGTTAGCCATTCCTGGTAATGTCTATTTCCTATTTCACAGCCCTGCAGACTTTGTCTAGCTTTAGTTAAAAACCTTAATTCATGGGTGGTAATATTAACTGAGCTGTAGAAATGACTAACAGTCAGTGGAATATCAGAGACAGTGTCAAAATGCTTTAAAAGACTAAATTTTGTTTTACAAATCTGAATAAGAGATGTACATTTAACTACAATAACTACAGAACCAATTAAACAGCATCTTTTGAGTATTTTGACTTTTTTGCCTAGTTTATTGTGTTTTTAAACTTTATAATCTAGCAAACTAGTGCACTTTCCAATAAAGTTATTTGTTTTTGCTTTTATTTGAAACTGAATAATATAGTGCTAGCCCTCTAGCACTTTATTAGAACTTGTAGTTTCTCTTTAACTGGAGAAAATGTGTAGTGATATATAGGGGATGATGCATGACACCATCTGCACCTCCCTCCCCCCACTTTCAAAATCCTAGATCCTCCCCTGGAAGGACCTCCAAGTTGAGAATCACTGTATTAGTATATGTTGTCTTTTAGTTAACATGGAGTTATGAGCAGTATCCCACATATTGAGCTTAATGTGGCCATGCCACATGCCCCAAAACAGCCTGGCAGGAATTTCTCTAGATATTATTAGCAAGTTTCAGAAAAATCAGTCATCTCAAATACTTGTAATTATTTCCAGCTAAGTGCTTGTAACCTCAGCAAAAAAAACCAGTTATTGGGCAGAGTATTGATCTAATCAGCAAATACACTTATGTCATCAGTAAACTAGAACCCTCCTGGGGATAAAACCAAAATCTTAAGGACTACGAGTTATCTGACATATGAGTTTAATTAGGAATTATTGATTGAGGATTTTTTAAAAGAAATGGAATTTCTTGATAAAAGCCTAACATAGGAATTCTGAGAA